AATTTAAATAGTTTTCTTTTGCGTGGAAGAGTGAAATGTGTAAACTGCAATTGAAAAGGCATTTGCCTTGAAATCTTAAATTTGATAAATCTCATGCTTCTGTTTTTTTTTTTTTTTTCTCCAAGTTTTTAGGAAGAAGAAGATATTGGGTGTAGGATTGTTGGATTATTTCTATTTGCTTCTATATTTCTTATGTAGATTAATTAATGAACAGAAACGCTATAAACTTTTAATGAAATTACAAGTATAAGTTACAATTACTATTAAGTATTATGTTTATATATAAAAAATTATTGATTAACTAAATAAACAAATTAAAACATAATAAATAAATTTAATATAAAATTGAATCAAACCTACATATAATGAGATTTGAATCAAAAACTTCAAGATTTTAAAATATTTTTCTTGCCACTAAGATAAGGTTCATTAGTTTAACATTATATACTTAACTACAGATATATTAAAGAAAATTTTTCTATGAAAGTTTAAAATAACAACTTTTATTCTCGAATAAATAACCATATAAATGAATAAGCAACTAATAATAATTGTGACAAATGTTTTATGGGATTAAACCTTCTTTCACTGGTATTTTAATTGGGAGGATTATAGAAGCAAAGACTAGCCCTTTTTGTTCTAGCTTTCCTTTTGTTGATGCAAGGATTTTTTAAATTGCGTATTGTTAGCTTAAAACTTGGTAACTTGTTGTCGCCATTTTGTCGTTTGAAAAGGGTATTTTGATAAGGAAATATTAGTCCTTACTTGTAAGCCAAGGTCTAAATTTTTGCTATCAAAGCGATCAAGTACAGTTAATGTGGTAAACAATCATGGAAGGTGATCATCTAAACTTTTGGTATAAAGTCTGATCAAATTAAAATATGGGTTTAGTCTAATTATAATTGTAGTTTTTGCTTGTATTTGTAATTTCATTAAAAATTAAATACCCAAGTTATGATCTTTAACGTGTAACACTTCAATTTTTCATCAAATTATTATGAAAATTCATTATAATATATATATATATATAAATATTTAAAATCATACTTATAAAACATTTTTGATAAAACAAAATCATAATTTTTTGAACCAATTTTCATTTAACATTCAATTAGCAATATGTTTGTGATTTTGAAAAACTATACCAAAGACACTAACGATAAAGTTTGAAATTGAATTTGGAGGTTGCAAGAATTAGAAAGAATTCAAGTGAAACAGACTACAGAGAATTTATTAAAGTTTTCCTATTTAAACATCAAATTGCGGAGTTAACTGGGAGAGAAATTTTTCTTCAGGACAACTTTTCCACTTCTCATTTTACATCTAATTTCTTTTAAAATCACTTTTTTTTTCTATTCGATTGTTTCCTTTCTTTTTCTATTTCTCTCTTATCAATCACAACACACAGATAAGTTTCAATTTTCAAAAACCAAAGTAAATACATGAAGTTGTAGGCCAAATCGTCTAAACTCCCAACTCCCACGATATGGATCACATCTGAATGGCTGCATGATATTTGGCAAATGACATGCCATTGCCTTGTGACGTAATAATATCGCATGCCGTTTGACAAGTGCAAAGACAAATCCAGAAAGGGCAAGCATGGGTAGGGTTGACAATCGAACCCGTATCTGACGAATTTAAAATTCGATTCAATTTTATAAAATTAAATTATTTTAAAAAAAATTAAATTTTGAATCGAATCAAATTAAGTAATTTAAAAAATAATAAAAATTATTTTTTAAATTATTTTTTAATTTTTAATTTATATATATTTATATAATTATATATTTAAATATTTATATTTAAAAAATAATATTTTTATTAATTTCAAATCGGATCGAATTAAATATGATTTATATAATATCTAATCACGTCGGATTCAGATATGAAAAAAATAAAAAAAATTTTTTGAATCAAATCAAATTTAAATTTTATAAATATAAAATTGAGTTAAATTCAGAATGAACAAAAACTTGTTCCAATCCGACCCGTTCTAAACATAAGTCATGATTTCAAAAGAAAATTTAATATAAAATCAAATTTAAAATTTATAAATATAAAATTGAATCAAATTCAGAACGAACAAAAATTTGTTCCAATCCGACCCGTTATCAATCCTAAACATAAGTCATGATTTCAAAAGAAAATTTAATAACCTTAAAATTACTATTTTGGTATTGTTATTTTCTCTCTTGAACTTCTTTCAATTTAATTTACTATTTCCTTAATACTTGGTCCTCTAAATATCATAGTATTGACTTTGTCTCTAAACATGTCACATAACATTATCATATCAATCATTAAAAATTGACAGAACATAAATAATTAAATTTAGAAATAATACTTAAGAGATTGTTTTAAAAATATTATCATAATTAAGTGATCAATAATGTATTTTATCTTAAATTTGATTTTAAAATCTTGAAATTAAAATCTTAAATAAAAAATGTCGTTTTTAACGGAGAAAAGCTCTATCAGAGCAAGTAAACCAAATTTTGTATGGCATACTCCAATGGCAATGAATCCACTTAAGGTTTTTGCGAAAGAGGCAAAGCGCAAAAAGAAAACCAAAAAGAGCTGAACTAAAGGCTAAAGCACTTTGGCTAGCCAACGGATAGCGAAAATGGTAGTAGAAATTTGGGTGATGGGATGGGATACCAGGAGAGAGTGGGTGACAGACCCATGATGCTGACCCACCACCACCACTGCATCACCCTTCCTCTCTCACTCTACAGGCCACTGGATTTCTTGATTGGCCACGTATCAACGCTAACAGCCAAAATAACCCAACCACAGCAATAAAACCAACATGCGAATAAAGATAACACCATCGCCTCCCCAATAAATATGGTCATAATTCGGTTTATTTATTTTATGTAAAATATATATAAAATACAAAAATTAATGTATTATAATTTATATGAAAATGTTAAATAAGAAATTTATTTTTTAATTTTTTATTATTCATATTATTTTTTGTTACAATTTTAAACCATGTTATTATTATTATTATTTCATTGATATTTAGTTTCTAGAATTTTTACTATTATGATTCCCTTTCAAATAATAGTAATAATAATAATAATAAAATTTTTAAGAATGAAATTTTAAGAAATTTTGAGTAATGATTCTTTAAAATCTTTAGGTAAATATTTTTTTTAAAATATTACTAAAATAATCAAATATTTAAGAAAATATTCAACATAAAAGATTTCTCATTCATTTATTTTCCTAAAATTATTTTTACAATTAAATAATATTTTTTTTAAAAAGAGAGAAATAATAAAAAGGAAAAATGACTCTTCTTAATAATGAAATTGATATAATATATATAAATATTATAATTAACTATTTTTATCTTTCAAAAAAATAATTAAAAAGAGTAATAATAATAATAATAATAATTAAAAAAATAGAATAAGAATAAAAATGAAAATGAAATAAAAACAAAAAGGGAGATATGAAAATGAAAATGAAAATCTCACAAAATAGATTCTAAGAAAGTTCGAGTAAAAATTTTTAAAGAATTTTTTGATGAAAAAATTCATCTAAAAATATTGTCAAAGTATTATGATATTTAGAAAATTTTTCAATAAAAAAATTTTCTTTACTTTGTTTCCTTAAAAATTTTCAATAACAACGATTATGAAATAATTAAGTGATTAGAATAAAATGAAAAAATATAACATAAGAAAAATAAGTAGTGTGTCTTTTTTTAAAATAATAATAATGTATAATGAAAAAAAAAAAAAAACTTTTATATGCATATGACACTTATTATTTGCATTATATAATGTTAAAAGTAATACAATTTCGATAATAGGATTCTTAAGAAATTCGAATAATGATTATAAAAAAATCCTTAAGTGAGAAAATATTTTAAGAAAATATTGTCAAAATATTAGAATATTTATAATGATTTTCAATACAAAAAACTCTTATTCACTTTTCACTTTTAAAAACAAATTTTTATGCAATGTGATAGCATTATAAGTTAATCCATATGCATTATATTAAAAGAGTAAACAAAATCTCTGATAAAAAGATTTTAAAAAAAGTTTAAGTAGTGATTCTTTAAGAATATCTAAGTGAAAATATTTATTTAAAATGATGCCAATATATTAAAGTATTTAAAATAATTTTCAATAAAGATTTCTCATTTTTTTAATAATTAGAATAAGAAATCAATTTTTAGAAAATTTTAGTTGGATTAAATTATAGACATCATATTTTATCATATGCATGGTAAATACTAATGTTAAAGATAAATATGAATTACTCAATGTGAGATTTTTGAAAAGTCCGAGTAGTAATTCTTAAGAAATATTTATGTGAGAAAATTACTTTTAATATTATCAAAGTATTGAAATATTTTTGGGAATTTTTCAATAGGTAAGGTTCTTATTTATTTTTCAAATAAACAACTAAAAATAAAAATACATTTTACAAAAATTAGCTCTAAATACCAAAATTAATATCTTTTTACCTAACATATAATTAATTAGTACAATTTTTTAATAAGCATTGTGGGGATATTAATAATTTCTTACATGTAATCGACTTATAAATTCAAATTATTTTTGTAGATAAAAAATTATCGTTTTAATAAATTTTAATTAATTTTTGATATTTTATTAAAAATATATATTTTAATAGGTGATTAATCATTTTTAATCAAAAAATATTAATGATGACCTTTTTTTGTTTTTAAATTCTTGTAACGGCCTTGAAACTATTGCAACAGTGCCGTATTAATGTGAAAACTTTATTTTTTATTTACTTTGTATAAATCTTTGAATATGTCTCTTTCGTCATGTAAAAAATATATACTTAATTAAAATTATTAAAAACAATTTCAAATAAAGTAATGATTCAAATTTCTTATCTAAACACTCTAACAAAAAAAAATTTATGTAGTTTTTCTACTCAAAATTAAATTCAAATCATTTTATCTATCACTATAAAAAAAAAATGTCCCATCCAAACCCAAGCACAAGGAAATCATAGTTACCCAAATGGATGAGTATATCCAAGCACCCAAACACATCCGCTACAATATCCACAAATTTCTCTACTACACCCCCAACAGCAAATTCTTAAGCCTCTCTCCTCTTCTCAAAAATGGCTATCCTCCAAACACACACACTTTCTCACCCAGTTCCTTCATTTCCACCCATCTTTTCTTCATCGAAAATCCATTTTCAAAACTTACTATTCTTTTCTACCACCAAGATCAGACCTTTCTCACTTTCAACACAACCAAGAAAGCTGCTTTGCAAACCCCCACTTGGCAAATATGTCAGAGAAGATTATCTTGTGGTAAATTTTTTTCTTTTTGCTTCCTGGGTTTGTTTTGTTTTTCCATTCTCCCTGTTGGGTTGCTGTCAAAATTGGAAAAATGAAGATAAAATGAAGTGTTTTTGTGAATTTTTAATCTTTTTGGATTATTCATTATTGGAAAGATTAAGGAAGTGAAATTGAAGATTGCTGAGTTGGAATTCTAGATAGTTTAGCTTTATTCTATTTTCTTTTGTGTTTTTGTCTTCCATTAGTTTTCTTCCAAGACAAACAGGAGAAAAATACATTTTTAAATTAAAATTTGTCACTATTTTGGCTTTGTGGGTTATTTTGTTTACCTAATTGCTCTTATTGGGTTGCTGAAAATTTGAGAAAAGAAAGGAATTTGAAGAGTTTTAATGGGGTAGGGAAATAGAAGAGCTGTTTTGCTTGGAATTGAGGATATAAATTATTAATGGGGGGAGGGGATGCTTTTTATTTTGTTCATATGGCAATTTTTTTTTCTTGGACTTTTGAATTTGATGAGTTGATTTGTCATTTTGGATGGGCAGAAAAAGATGTCAGCTCGGGAAGTTGAGGAGCTAGTAAGGGGAGAGAGAAGTGTACCCATAATTATTGATTTCTTTGCAACTTGGTGTGGACCCTGTATTTTGATGGCTCAGGAACTTGAAATGGTAAGCTTTATTTAATCAGTTTCCCCTATGATGTTGTATTTGATAACTGTGGATTGTAATGAAAATGAGTTTTGTCCCCAGTTGGTTTAGGTGAGAATCTTTAAAGTTTTGCTAAAAGCCAGGTGGTCTGTTGGTAGAATGAAGTAAAAAAAAATGAATCTTTCGAGTTTCAATTTATTTTGCAGCATATAACCATGCAGAAAGCAAAAAAAATAAAGCTTGAGTTTAAATTTTGCATTTAAATATCCCAAAATAACCTAACTGACATGCTGCATTATTTAAAGAAAGATCATATTAGGATCTGGCTTTGAATGTAGGGGCAAAAAGAGTTAAATCCTACTTCATCAACCTAGTAGAAGATGAAACCATGATTTCAAGATTTCTGCCGAGATCATATCAGCCAAGATCTGGTCTGACTGCAGGACTTGCAGAAATAGATAAAATTCGTAGTACAAATTGTGAGCAAGGAATATTTGAGATTGCATTGTAGTTTTCCTTTTGATGGATCTTAGGAGGGCTTAAGAGGACTAAAATAAGCCAATGGCACTAGACTATAGCTAACCTAAAAAGGAAAATGATGGACGGTATGAAGCAACTCCATAACCAAAGAGGTTTAGGTATACAGGTGCACTCTATGTTATTGCAGTAGTTCTGTAAATTAAGATGAGTGCATTTGGAATTTTTGTTTCTCTTCCAGAGTTCCTGGAACATATGGGACACCCATTTCTCTCCTGGATGGTAGCTTCTATAGTAGAATTAAAGGAGAAGAGACCTTCTGACATTTTCTTTTGGTACCACAAACTAATATTTTGTATTACAGAAATTTTTGCTAAGCAAATGATGTTATCATGATTTTTCCATGCACATTTTCTTAATTTATGATCCTTAACGTAGTATCAACTTAATTTTTTGGGAAAGTAGGTCCTAGGAATGGCATTGGAAAATACTGCAGTTTTGCATTTAATGCATAAGTAAGATGCTTGCTGAAAGTTCTCAATTTCATCACAGTGATTAAGATAGCTTCTACATAGTAAATTTTGAGATGCCTCTTTCTACAAAGTGGCAACAACACTGCACTTAACTATGTTGTGTCCTAGAACAAAGTCACTTAAATCACCATGCAGAGCTTAGGTAACATTTTCATCTGACTCTTCTCAAATTAAACTCAGATGTTTGGTTGCATTAAGCCAGGCTTTACTTTTATATTTGATTGCATAGTTTTAAATCGTTTTGGAGTCAACTATATCTTGTTTTGCAATAATTCACTGAAATTTATTCTCATTAAATAATGTTGAAAAAAATTTGTAGTTGGTTAGATGAACATGTAGGACCAGCTTGATTTGTTTGTTCCAGTTTGGAGATTAACTCAAGTATCATATCTCAATCTATTTTTTTAATCACAGCTAGCAGTGGAGTATGAGAAAAATGCAATTATTGTCAAAGTTGATACTGATGATGAGTATGAATTTGCGCACGATATGCAGGTAATTTGCAAGTGATTTATTTCTTAAGTTCTGATTTTACTCCTTTAAATGGTTTGTTTATATATTATAAGTGCATGCTCGTGGGAAAAAAAATCCTGGATCCATCACTACTAAATGGCATCAATCAGTCGCCTAATCAAAGTAGCTGCTTTTCATTTTAGATCAAATTGATTAGAAATCACTCTGTTGTACCAGGTTAGTGGGTTGCCTACTTTATTCTTCATCAGCCCTGATCCTAACAAAGAGGCAATCCGCACTGAAGGCCTCATTCCAATACAAATGATGCGGGATATCCTAGATAATCAGATATTGGAAGCACAAGACTGATTATTTGCTGCTAAATGGAATTAAGTTACTGAGTTTTGCTTCAAAGTGTAAATACATATTTTCTTGGTGCAGACTTGATGCAAAATGTAGTTCAAAAAGTTGTATAATTTTGTACCCAACTTTGAATGGAGTTGAACAATTCTTTTAGTGTAGAGATGGCATGGCAAGGACCTTTTCTTTTTCAAATCTTTCTAAGCTAGTATAAAAAGGAAATGCATTGAAAAATTCATGTGATAACTGTCAATGAAACTGACAACAAATTTCAAATTTTTTATCAAAATTTTTATTGAACCGATATGAAAAATACATGCTAAATTGATTAATACTGCAGTTGCTCTCTGTAAGATTCAATAAATCAAATCCACAAAGTTCACAAGGGGAAGATGATTCAACTGTCACTTGTCTCGTATGTCATACTTGGATGACATTTGGTAGGTTAAAGGTGAAGCCTTACCTCCCACTTTTCTGTCCTTCCCAAGGCACTTGTTTACTTTCGATCGCCATCAGCATCAAATGACACTCGGTGCATGCACACGTTACAACAACCAAATGCACCAAGTAACTTTTAGTGCATGCACATGTTTCGACTACCATCTGCACATATTGGTCCTTAATCTTGGTACTTACCTCGATCACTATTGGTGTTTGATGGCCTTCGATGCGGTAGTTTTCTCGAACACCATCAATGCATACTGGACCGTCTAATGTGCGCAAGTATCCTTGACTCGGGCCATGCACCATATGCACCGTGACCAGGCAATAGATGGGTTTAGACACTTTTTCATATTTCTATCATATTAATGCCATTTTATGATTTATAAATTCATATGACATTCCTTTATTTATGTCAAAAAGTTTAACCAACTCAATTTTCTCATAAGTGTATCAAGACAATCTAATCTAAAAATTAAGTTTTAAGTACGTGGATTTAACCTAAAATTCTTTCAGAAGTTTCTTAGGAAATAAGAAGGAATTGATTGAAACAAAAAAAGTTACAAAAATTGAAGGTCAAAGTACAAATGTTGAAAAAGCTAATGGTCCTCTCAACGGATTTTCCATTAAGTTTATGGAAAATTAAGAGTTATAATTTTTTTCATTTAAAAAATATAACTTTTGCTGTTTTAATTCATTTAAATTATAAAAAAAAAAACTTTGGATCAAGATTCAGTTGAAAATTTTAATTTATAATAGAGTTTATATTTCATGCACTATTAATATATAAGTTTTATATGTTATCAATAAATCATATATTATCTTGTTATTAATGAACAAATATCAATTTTTAAAATAAATATAACAAATTTAATATTTTTTAAAAAATTTACTAATTAATGAAATAATATAATCTAATTTACCTTATTAATAAAATGATATCATTTAATTTATTAATGATATATAAAATTTATATATTGATAATACATCAAATATATTTTTTTATAATATTATATTTACGATCCAAGAGTTAATGCATTTTTAACTATTTATTATAATAATATAAATATTTTCTACAAAGTTAGAACAAAAAAAGGTTAAATCTTCGATCTTAATTCTCTACAATTTATCAAATTGAAACATCATTATCAATGGTAACAGTTTAATTATACCTTGAACTAACCACTTGGAAGTAAAATCCAATTGAAAATCTTAGTCCATTTAATTGATCGATACATAGATCAAAATTAGGATGTTAGAAATATATATATATATATATATATAAATAGGGTCCATTCACTTGCAATCTTTTTGTGATATGGTCATAATCCAATGAGGTCGAATTGCCTTTCAAAATCACTGTAGTTGCGGCTCAACTTTTTCAAATTGAAATGCTACTCTAATTTTAAAGCATGAGGGCATCATGTTTTGAAAATTAAAGTGTAACCATTTTGAACTTGAATTAAAAGTCTTGCAATCGAATTCGAGATATAATCAAGATTATTCATTCACTTGTATTAAGAATTGGATTCCGATAAAATTATAGTTTGATTCTCAATATTTGTAATTTTTCGTCTTCTATCTCCTTAGGCTTCATCCTCCCTTTTACAAAAAATATACATATTGTGAAATCTACAACCCCTCCGAAGAGTTTTAATTTCTCCGATGTTTCTCATTTTTCTTTTATATTTGTTAAAAATTTTGTTAAGGAGTGTTCTAAGAATATATTTTTAAAATTACTTAATTAATTTATTTTTCTATGCATAAAAATTCATAATATTAAATTCTAATCACTTCATTTATCATTACTATAATTAAAATTTTAACTAATTAAAATAAAACTATTAAAGCTCTCATTATAATTTTTTTTTATAAGTAACCAACATTAAGAGGAAATTAAAAAAAAAATACACAAGCACTAATAAAGGGAGAAAGCAAAGAGAAAAATGGAAAACATTCACAATTAAAATTTTTTCAATTTCTCAATTTTTTTCTCAAAATTTATTGTCATAACATATAGATTCAAAAATCTATAGCTATATTTAACAAATGAATGGAGTCGCTACTAATCTTTTATTAGGTGTGATTGGTTATCTAGAGAATCTATTCTTTTAAAGAACTCCTAAGCTCGACTAAGGGTCCCTAAAAGAATAGGTTCGGGTCTATTAACCAGATAAGGTTTGGGAGTTCGATTACATATGAAGAAGGTTATAGCACCCCCATATGCCCATCCAAGGGATGGTACCATATTATTTTGAATTTATCCTAAGGTTTAGAATGTAATGGCTTCAAAATTTATGTTAAATATTGGAAACAATTTTTAAGATTCTCCATCAATCTAATAGTACTCTCAAAAAAAATTTTTCTCACCTCAAAAGTATTCAAGAATCCCATTTGATTTTTTGAAGAGGCTCCATTGTCGGAAAAAGATTTATTTATTATTTTTTATTATTACCATTGTGGTTGAAAATAAATCTAATTATTCCACCATTTGGGTCAAATTAGAAATATTTTCTCTTTTGAATTTCTAAAATTTTTCACTATTTGGGTCTATTTAGAAATTCCCTTTTTTTTCTTTGAAAGAAAATAATATGACAATTATTTTTATTGAAATTTCATCTAAATTATTCCACAATTTGGATCAAATTTAGAAAAAAATTTCTCACCTAAAGATTTCTTTAAAATTTACCATTTGAAATTTCTAAGAATCTCATCTTTAGATAATTATCAAATATTTTCAATCTAAATTTTTATTTGGAAAAAAAATACAATTACTTGTATTGAAATTTCATCTAAATCATTCCACCATTTGGGTCAAATTTAGAGGAAATTTCTCACCTAGAGATTTCTTAAAAATTTACCATTTGAAATTTCTAAGAATCTCATCTTTGGGTAATTTGTATTTAATTCCAAAAATTTTATATTTTTATGTTTTTTATTATTTTTAATTATTTTTAATTATTTTTGGTTTGAAAATAAATATTAATTATTGTTATTGAAATTTTATCTAAATTATTCCACCATTTGGGATAAATTTAAACAAAATTTCTCACTTAGAAATTTCATAAAAATTTGTCATTTGAAATTTTTATAAATTCCATTATTGGATGATTAATATTTATTCCCAAAATTTTTATTTTTATATTTTATTAAATTTAATATCAAATAATGAAAACCATAAAACAAAGTGAATAAATAAACAATTATGCATAAAATAAAACAAATGAATAAACAATTAAATAAAGAGAAAAAAAAGTACCAAACAATTAAAAATTTTGAAAAATAAATAAATAACTGCAAGTAAAAGTACCAAAATTGATGTGAGCCTTTGGGATGAAATTCTACCAACTCAATGTGTTAGCCTATCACATGACACTAAGGCATCAAAGCACACTAAGGCACTTGCTCCACACGCATGTGGTTCCCCTCCACTATTACTTTCTACTGTTTTTTAGTTTCTGCTAGCTTCTTCTATTCTTGTTGCCCAGTCTTCTTTTTGGTTCCTCTTCTTTTTTTTTTTGCCTTCTTTTGGTGCCAACAGCTTCATGTTCCCTTGCCTACTGTCAATTTCTTTCTCCCCCCTTCTTGGGTATTCCAGCGTTTATTTATAAGGATTGATCAGAGGAGTTTCTGATCAATCCCAATTCCTCTTGTGATTGAAATTCAATCTTTGAATCCAATCCAAACTCTAGCAGCTCAGTTTTATGCAAACTCAAACACCTTTTTTATTTTTTCATTTTTATTATTTTTTTAATTTTTTAATTGTCAAAGTTGATCTTGTAGACCCCAGACAGATTGGGGTGTCTATAGCTGCCCCTCTTTGTACATTTTCTATGAAACAAAAATTGTGCAAAGATGTAGACAACCTAATCAATTTGACACTTTTTTTTTAAAGAAAAAATAACAAAGCTTCTCTAAATAGAGGCTCAATGGCTTTTGAAAATAAATAAAGCTCCTCTAAATAAAGGCTCAACGACTTTGAAAATAAATAAAGCTCCTCTAAATAGAGGCTCAACGACTTTGAAAATAAACAAAGCTCCTCTAAACAAAGGCTCAATGACTTTGAAAAGTAAATTGCTCCTCTAAACAGAGGCACCTCAACTTTTAAAATGTAAATTGCTCTCTAAATAGAGGCACCACAACTTTTGAAAGTAAATTGCTCCTCTAAATAGAAGCAACCATAACTTTGAAAAATAAATTGCTCCTCTAAACAGAGGCACCATAACTTTTGAAAAAAAAATTACTCTTTAACAATCATGTCCAAAGGAGTTATAAATCGTGACTGAAGGAATTTTATAATGGAAACTCAAGGATTCACAATTTGAGTTCAACATTCAAAGGTTCAGATTCGTAAGAATCTTTCAACTTCGTAAAAAATTTACTGAAATTTGATTCTCAAAATTTTAGTTTTATTCAAATTTGTAATATATCGAGATTTGCATTTGCAACTTGCAAGACTCGCATCCAACTTTTAAAGATCCTTATTTGAATTTTGGAGATTCACATCCAAAAGTTCAAGGCTTTTAAAAGGTTCTCATTTGGCAAACTCGGAATTCATATCCAAAAATCTAAAGCTTTTCATTTGAATTTTGGAGATTCACATCTAAAAATTCAAAGCTTCTCATTTGAGTTCAAAGGCTCACATGTAATAAAACTTAGAGTTTCACATCTAAGTTCAAAGGTTCTCATTTAAAACATTAGAAATTCATATCAAAAAAGTTGAAGCTTTGTATTTTGGAGATTCACATCCAAAAGTTCAAAACTTTTCATT